AGCCTGCTTCTCCCTCTCCCACTCCCCCTGCTTGTGTTCCCTCTCTTGCTGTGTCTCTCTCTGTCAAATAAATAAATAAAATCTTTAAAAAAAAATTCAGTTCCTCTGTCACATGAGCCTCATTTCAAGTGCTCATTAGCCACATGTGGCTAGTGGTTACCATATTATATGGCATATAATACCAACATAAAACATTTCCATTATCACAGCACTGACCTATAGCTTGGGTGTTCAATCTGAAAGATCGGTTAAAATGAAGAGCTTACATAAGAGCTCACTTTTGACCTTTCTCCCAATACCTTCTTAGGTCTATTGCTGTCCCATCATTACGGGTTCCTTATCTGCTAAGACCATGACCCAAGAATCTGTGGGACAGCCTTCTCTTTTCCTCTTTGTTTTCCATTTTTTGAGGTAATACTGCATAAGTCTCTTTGTTTCATTACATATATTCTTTTGCAGGTGAAATTTGAAGCTCAGAAGAGAATTTTATGGAGACTAGAGTCTTACCTCCAAAAGCTCAATGGAGTCAGTGTGACAACATCTGCACCCAGAGCTGAGGGGCTCTCTTGTCTTCTCCATCCTATTATACCCTCTGTAAGCCACTACTTCCCTATCCTTTATCTACTAAGTCCCCTTAATAGCTAATAATATCAGCCAGTACCTACTGGGCACTTTCTGGAGACCAGGCCCTGTGCTAAGTGATTGCATGCATCATTGTCTAGCACATTGTCTGTGCTAAGTGATTAGCATGCATCATCATTGACTGTTTATAGTCACCCTGAGGGGTAGGCACTATCGTTTTACAGATGAAGATGTTGAGGTTCAGAGAGATTAAGTAATTTGCCCAAGGACACACATTTAGAAAGTGCCAGAGCTGAGGTTCACACTCAGGTCTATTTGATGCAAAGCTCACTTTCTCAACCACTACGGTATTACCTCTGTAGAAAGATTTCAGACTTTGGAAACCGAATGAGGCCTCAGAGAGGCAGAATTTAATTTATGGCAGAGGTTGGCAAACTATGGCCCTTAGGCCGTATCTGTCACCCACCCCTGCTTTTTTGTAAAGTTTTATTGGAACACAGCTGAGCTTGCTTGTTTATGGATTGTCCCTGGCTGCTTTTGCACTGCATGGCAGAGTTAAGTAGTTGTGACAAGGACCATATGACTTGCAAAGCCTAAAATAACTTGTTATCTGGCTCTTTACTGAGAAAGTTCGCTGATCCCTGCTTCACAGCAAGATTGAAACTCCTTTCCACTGTGGAGTGCCTGTGGAGTGTCTTGACCTCAGCTATGGACTTTCACAAATGCCATACCTTCCAAGAAAGTGCCATTTATTTGTCCTTATCCAGAGAACATTCTTACGTTCCTTTTATTGCTGTTCTCTTTGGTTTCATTTGTCCTATTGTGCTTCTCCTGCCCTGCCTTCTCCAGCCTGTCATCAATGGCTACCGAAATAAGTCCACCTTCTCTGTGAACCGAGGTCCAGATGGCAATCCGAAGACTGTGGGGTACTACCTGGGAACTTGGAGAGGTCAGTTGAAGGCCATGACTAGTAGAAATAGCAAACTAAGGGCTGAGAGGAGAAGGAAGGTATAGGAACAGTGTCGGGGGAGAGGGGTAGAGAGGAGTGGAAAATATGGCAGCCTTGAAGAAGTCTTTGATGCAGAATGTGATCACAAAGTTAATTTTGGATGCTTTTTGGTGGGTAGTCATTGTCACATAGCACGAGGAATCACAACTTTCACCCTTTCTTCCTCGAAAAGTCATATGCCTGAGCCCCAGGTAGCACTTAGTAAATGTTAATGTTGCTGCCACTGCCCACGCACCGTTGTCGTCATCATCATTTTATGCTCCTTTTCTGTACTGGGAGAAGTCTCCTCTTTATTAGAGAGTCGCCTTTTCTATTTCATATCTCCATATCCCTGAAAACTAGACTTGCTGTGATAAATCTGCCTTAAAGTGATTGGTAGAGGAGGTGAGTGGTGGTAAGGGAGTTCACAGTGGTGTATTTCTGAGACTTAATCCCAGTACCCATTCTCAGATTCCATTCCTGAACTTTGCATTTGCCCATTTTCAATAAATCCACTTGAAAAACCATCATTTTATATTAGTCACACTGTTTAATACCCATATGCCCCAAACTACAGTTCATCAGGGCAGGCACTTGGCTTCCCCCCCCCCCCACCGTGTGCTGAATTAAATGAGTATATGACGTTAGTGTTCTATTATTCAGTAACAAAAACAAAACCCATTACATTTTATTTCCCTCTTAAAATCTGAACAGAAAGCAGATCTTGTCATATTGGTGCATTTGAGGCATGAGAGAAAATATTGCAGGCTAGCTCTATGCTCTATTAAGAATCAGCTTCGAAATGGCTAGACCAGGAAACAGGTTTTCTCTGAAAAATGGCCTTGAGCTTGAATTAGGTACTTCTTCAAATCTGAGTATGCCTCTCTGAAGGAAGGTATTTGAATGGCCAGACATTTCTAAATAACCTTTCATCAAGAAAACCATATAAAGCAAATTCGTTTTCTTTCTTTAGACAGAAGCATCGTCTGTGTATGGTCTAACCATCTGAAAAACATCCCTGAGAAACACAATCAAGTGGCACAGGTAATGAGAAACAAGGGCTGGTTGAAGATAACCCTAGACATTGCAGTCTGTAATAGTAGTGTCCCTGACATTTTAATAATAGAGCGGCCCCTGGTGCTATAGGGGAGGAGGGGCTCTGTTCTGAAAGCATACCTTGTAACACGGAGAGAACATTGCTGGTGTTTCATTTCAGGGACGGTGGAGAGCAGGAGAGAGAACTTCATCCATTATTGCCCATGTCAGGCATCCAAGGAATTTAATAGGAAGGAAGTATTAGGAAAAAGAGGTACCGGTGAGGGCAGTCTAACAGGTGACAAGTGTCTGAACTATTTGGAAGGCTAGTGTTTTCGGCAGAACAGAACTGAGAAGTATCATGGGAGATGTAAGTGGTAAGGCATCTACGTCATGAGGTTGGCCTGTAAGACATTTTTATATCCTTCTTTCTTCATGCACCTACTATTTATTGAGTGCCTGCTATGTGTTGGGCACTGTGCCAGGTGCTGGGGATCCAATGATGACTCGAATAGGCATGGTCCCTGCCCTTGTGGAACTTAAGAAAACAAGTCAAAAGCCTTGCTCATGAGGACTGAACAGCACTCGCAACTGACACTCTTGTTCCCTGTTGGTTCTTACCAGCACCCACCCTCCTAATGATTTAAGTTCCTGACACTTGGGTGGTGCCTTCTAATAGGACACATCCTGACCTCTAGGATTTCGCTGTTAGGATGCAGCTTCCTTTGTAGAATTGTTCTCCAGAAGTCTTCCTACATGGGCCTCATCAGTTTCTTCTCCCATTCTCTTCAGTGACTTCTCTAAACCCTTACCTCTCCTCAATTCCCTACCCCATCACTTCTACTCTTGCCCTTAGCAGATGATTGTACCTCATTCTTCCCTGAAAAGTTAAGGGTATCACATGAGAACCCTCTGAGCTTGTTCTCCTAACATCTACCAATTCCACTGAAATCTTATCCCTCCTTTCCTCCTATTTCAGTGAAAGAGGCGGTTGGTCTTCCAACCTTCCTATCCTTCCTTGAAACACCATGTTGGACTCATCTCCTCCCTCCTTTAGATCTTTGCTTCTTCATTACATACCCTCTTTCTCCTGTTTCTGTACCTCCTTCCCTATGACCCCTATCGGCTCTTTTCTTTAAGTTCATAAACATTAAATATCTCCCATTAAAAAAAAACTCATGGTTCTTCTGCCCTTAACACCCCATAGAAATTGATCTTGTCAAAGTCATCAGTGATTCTATTTTGCCAAATCCAATGGAAACTTTCCCTAACTTACTCAACTTTTCTCTGCCTTTGACACCACTTATTTTTCTTATTTCCTTCCTTGAAACATTTTCTTTGTTTGCTTTCTGTGATTCCTTTCTCTGATGGTTTTCCTCCTATCTTGCTGGCCACTTCTAAGTCTTTCCCATGGGATCTCTTTCTCCTCTCCTTTCCTACTATAAGTGTTGGTATCCGCCAGGACTCTGTCCTTGACCTTCTTTTCAGATACATTCATGGGAGATTGCACCCAAGTGTAGTTGGTGACTGGAATGACCACCTACAAATTGATAACTCCTAAACTTATATTTGCATTCTGGTTCCCTCTTGAGCTTTAGGAGGTACATTTCTAAAAGGCTATTGAACTTCTTCACTTAACTGGCCTACAGATTCAAATCAGCACTGCCCTAGATCAGAGTTTCTCAGCTTCTGCCCTACTGACATTTTGGGTTGGATCATTTTTTGTTGTGTGGAGCTGTTAGGTGCATTATAGGACTTTAGCAGCATCCCTGGCCTCTACCCACTACGTGCCATTAGTCGTGACAATCAGAACTGTCTCCAGATGTCTCTTGGGGGGGCACAGTTGCCTCCAGTTGAGAAACACTGCCCTAAACCAAATTTATCCTCTTCCCTTTCAGAATATGCTTCTTTTTTCTCACCTTAGTAAATGGTAGCACCATGTACTAGAGACATGTCATCCTAGACTCCTCTGTCTTAATCCCCACCTTCCTCCTCAGCCACATCTAATCAGTCTCCAAGTCCTGTCAGTTTTCCTTCCTAAAAATACCTTGACTCCCCCTCTTCTATTTCCACCACCATTACCACCACCACCATCACTCAATTCCAAGCTACCATCTTCTCTTGCCTAAACTATTGCAGTAACCTCCAAACTGGTTTCACTAGTTCCAACCCCTTACCTTGGTTTATTCTCTACACTGCATGCAGCCAGAGGTGTCCTTAAAATGCAGATAAAATCATACCACAATCTTGCTTAAAATTCTTCAGTAGTTACCCAGTAGCTTTTAGAATAAAGCTTAAATTTGTTATCTTTGCACTGACAGATCTTCATGAGAAGGTCCCTAGCTTCATCTTCTGCCGCATCCTCACCTGCTTTCCTCTTTCCGTTCGTATGGAACTCAAGTTATCCTACTGAGCTATCTCACTCCTGCCTGAGGCTGTCCTTTCTCCACAGTGCCCTCACTCTTCTCCCCTTGGCTTCTACTTATGTTCAAAGATTCATTTCAAACATTAGATCCTGTAGAAAACCTTATCTGATGCCTCCGTCTGATTAGGGAGTCCCCCTTTCTGTACTCTAGTCTAATCTCCCATTGCTTATCTCCTGTTGTTGCATTTGTTACACCATATTGCATTGTTGTGCATTGATTGGTGCTTCCCACATGAGACTGGGAGGTAGCAGCTGGATATTATTTAATTTTGTAGCCCAGCACTTAGCATAGATTCATACACATAGTGGTGCTCATCAAATGTTTGGTGAATGGATACCTCTTTGCAATATTTACCCAAGTTTCCAGCCCTTCCAGCTTCTATTGGGCAAATTGTTTACCCTACACATCTATCCAGAGGAATTCCTTTTCCCTGCAAAATTTGTACTGGGACCTAAGATCCAATCCAGTAGGTACTCAAATATAGGCCAGATGCTGACTGTAATAAAAATAATACCTTATGTATAGCCCTAGGTTGTTTTCACTTAATACCTTCATTTCTCTTTCCCTGTTCCTGGTAGTGACAGTCCATTCCATTACGATGATAGGATAACCCTAGTTTGCCCTGATTTGAGGTTTAAATATCTACTCTTGAGTCTTGAGTCAAAATATGAATTTTATGGGAGGTGACAGCCAGAGCACCAAGACCTAAGAAGCAGTCTATAAATAAAATACTATCAAAAAATACAAGTACATAGTTTTAAAAGTCAAATAGTAGTAATAGGTTAGTAAGGAAAAGTGATGTTTCTCTATCCTACCCTTCCTTGCTCTTGAGTCTTGCTTTCTAGAAACCACAGCATTTATTTTAGCTATTTCTTCTGATGTTCTGTATTTCTAAATAGTACATTATTCTGATGTATTTTGCTTTATCCAAGTTACATATTATTTGTTGACTTCCAGTTATGGCATATAAGAATTTCTCTCCCTTACTTTGTTTTTCTTCCCAAACTACCCTTCTTCTATTTTTATAGCACAATTCTTGGTTAAATTAATATTTAGTGTTTCTATTGTTATGACTATGTAGATATTCATTCCTGAGCCAAGTACATGTACTAAGATTTTATTTTCCTTTATTGTACAAATTTTCCTTTCATTTTATATTGTGAAAAATGGCAAACATATAAAAGTAAAGAATGGTATAACGAACCCCATATACCCATTCCCCAGCTTCAAAAACTATCAGTAGGTGTCCAATCTTATTTTATCTATACTCTCACCCACCCCACATTCCACCAACACATTTGGATTAGTTTGAGGCAAATTCCAGACATTATATCACATAAAATGTGAAACTTCAGTGTGAGTTCTAAAAGAAAGAACTTAATTTTTTAAACATAACTTCATACCATTATTACATACAGAAATAAACATTTATCCCATAATATCAAATATCCAGTAAATATTCAGGTTTGACACCGATGTATCACATAAATGGTTCGAGTTTTATAGGTGGTTTGTTCAAATCAGGATTCAAACAAGGTATGCACATTGCATTTGATTAACATGTCTCTTCATTCTCTTTTAATTTGTAGGTACCCTTCCCTCTTAATTTTTTTGTCCTTGCAATTTATTTTTTGAAGAAACTGGTTGGTTTTCCTGTGGAAATTCTTATTCTGGATTTTGCTGATTGAATTCTCATGATGTCATTTAATGTTCTTCCTCTGTCACCTGTATTTCCTATAAACTGGTAGATCTAGATGACTAGATTCAGATTTAACTTGAGGTGAGAATATTTTTAACGTGTATATGTCTGATGGGCTCTTTTTCGGTGATGTTAAGATTGAATTGTGGATTCAGTGTCATCAGCCTGATCCACTCATTAAAAAATTTCCTGTCAGGTTTTCACCTAATGGTTTTCGCAGTCATTGGTGATCATTACCTAGTCTATCATGTCTTCATTTGTTAATTAGAATTCTTCTAAAAATAACTTTTCCTTATCAGCTATTTGGTTACCCTGATGTACTGATACAATCAAGACAGGGTAAATCCTTGGTTCTTTCACCTTCTTCAAAAGATGATCAGTTAAATTTGTTTGTTTCAGTATCATGAAATCATGGATTTTTTTTAAAAGAGTTTCTTTATTTTGAGAGAGACAGCAAGAGAGCACAAGTTGGGGGTGGGGGGAAGAACAGAGGGAGAGGGAGAAGCAGACTCCCCACTGAGCAGGGAGCCTGACATGGGGCTCCATCCCAGGACCCTGGGATCATGACCTGAGCCGAAGGCAGACGCTTAACTCACTGAGCCACTCAGGTGCCCCGAAATCATGGATTTTTAACATACTTGATATGTTTTAGTCCACTGAATTTACTATTATTTTTTGGTACTCAAATTGTTCTGTTTATAGCCACTTGGAACTGCTTTAAGTTGTCTCAGCCCTAGGATGGCCCTAGTAGTTCCGGAATGATAAGGTATTTCTAGCACATCTAGTCTTTTCTGCCTGAGACTGGGAATCAACCATTTCTTCAAGGAATCCTTGTCTCTTTTAGTGGGAAATGGTATTTGGAAGCACAGTATGGGTGCTAGGGG